CAGTAGCAAACTGTCAAATCAGAACTGCTAGGCAACCTGGGCTTGCTGAACAAAACAAAAACTGAAGATCTAATTGCCAAAATCTAGAAACTAAAAACCAGAGAAAATGACAAACTAATTCTCAGAGAGTGATGACTGAAAAGAAACTGGCAAGCCCAAGCAACATAAGTGCTACCAGTTGAATACCTGTAAGAAGGGCTGACGTGATCAACCTATGAATGAACAGGGAGGTGGAAGTAAAAAAAAAAGTTGCTGCTCTCTGCATACAGCATTACTAAGGCTAATACAAGATAAATGATGAAAGAGATTTAAAGAATATTGAAAAACTGGAGATGAAAAAGAACCCAAACCATAAAGTAATTTGAAGACTAGAAAAAATTTCTTACTGTGAAGGCCAGAAAGAACTCAATGTCTACAGCTTATTGAAAGGACTCAATTAGAATTTAAGTGGTTGAAGTAAGAGAAAATACAGCCTGCTGAAGTGAACTTCAGTAAAAGGCACAGCAAAAAATAATTCAGTGGCTACAAGCTGAACCCAGACAAGTTAAAATGTGAAACTGGAAGAGGAACCATTAGGAATCATGTATCTAAGTACTGGAATAGAATACACTTACTGACTAGATATGGAGCAAACTATGCTCTCCTGATATCTAAAAAAATTATGTTTGAATGCCTTTCCAGTTCAGCTGTTGCCAATCAGTGAGTTCAATACAAGGGTAACTGGCAATAAATTACGGCATGAGATACACAGTTTATCTAATTGTCTCCTTTGGCTTACAACACTATTAAGAGAGTACCTGAATTTGCTATATGAAAACAGCAGCACTTCTCTAGGTATAGTGAAAAATCAGTCACAAAAAGAGTTTCTATTCAGAACCTCAAAAGCCAATCTTACTAACATACAATGTCTATTTTCTGGTGCTAAGCTGAAAAACCGGGAGACAAACTCTATTGTTGGACAAAGCCTGATAGTAAGTTACACTTAGTTTAAGAAAATGCTAGTAGGATTAGAAGTACAGTTATTAAATTTAAAATAGTAGTTTTGTGAAGAAATATATCTGTTCACATAGAAACAGATAAAACTTAACATTCCAAAGTAAATAAGTAGCTCTAAATATATGGTATTTGCATCACATTATTACACTTATTAACAGCCAACATTAACAGAAAAGTAGCTTGCTGAACACAAGACAAGATACTAGATTAAGTTTAAATAAGTAGAAACATATAGATACACATTTTTACTACTTTTCACTTGCATTATAAGGTAACAAGCACACAGTAATACATATAAAACAATGTATTTTAACATAAATTATTAATTTACAAATACAAAATATCTAACTCATTGTTTATAACAACTGCAGATTTATAAAGAGAAAAGTTTTGATGTCAAGATCTTTTAAAAAAGATTTCCATGTGATCACGTAAAATTACCTTTGGCTTTTCCACACCACAGTACTATATGAGCACCTTAGAAAAGCAAGCTTGCATGCTCAGTGTGGCAATATTTATTCATATTGATGCCAAGAAAACGTTGACGTGTCTTGACAATATTCAATTTTTACTGTACGGTCTGAACTGGATTTAGCATGAACTTGAAACTTTGCCTGGCATTATTAACTATTTTTATTATGATTGTGTCTAGATGACAGGACTGTGGGGGTGTAAGTTTTTGTCCAAGTTATTTCATGTTGTCTTTCAATAAAAAACTAAGCCTGAGGAAGTACACCTTAAAAACTGTTCCAGGTTTCTGCTTTGAGGATGAAGAAACGAATTACTTATATATGCAGAAAATATTACAGAAAATATGTAAAGCTTCACATATTATTTATTTTATCCATGACAAGCAAATGGATACAAGGAAACAACAGGAATGCAAAGGAGTGGCAATAGAGCTACTACAAATTACTTTAATAATTATTAAAGTAGTTAATAGTAGTAGTATTTACTGCTATTCATCTCCTTGGGATAATAATCTTTGTAAAACAAAATAAATGTGATTACTTAGCTCAACTGCAAATTACAGGATTATTAAGAGAAAATATACAAGAGGAAACACCAAATTAAATTCAAGTGATATTAACTACTCAAGAAATCAGCTTCTCTGCCTGAATAGTTTAGCTATTTTAAGCACTTATTTCATATTGCCATTTAATACCATATCCATTACAAGGATGCAACTAAACTTGATTATACAGCGAAAAACTGTACAGTCTACTGTATTTCACCCCACACTGCATGTCTTGCAAACAATAAGCACTGAACATTTTTAAAGCTAGTAAGCAGAAATGTGTAGCATCTGAGCTCCACCTACAGGATGAAAAGAAATGTAAAAGAAATATTTTTAATTCCCAGACTACAAGAGGGCTATTCAGGAAGCCTTCAGATGGTCCTCTCAAGCCACTGCCATTTTACAAACTCAATGTGATGCTGAGAAATTTTATTACTTATGCAATGATGGCAAACACTTCTATCTCTAAACATTCCTATACGTTAACAGCTGTTCTACAGTGTGAAGTTAAGGTTTAAGCTTTCTAAAAAACCCCAGACCAACAGAACTTCTCTAACAACTTGCCAGAATGACTGGAAGGCTCTTTTTCTCAAGTTTTCTTATCTAATACGAAGTTGTCAAGTGTATGAAGCTATTTTAAGAATATACACAAGAGGTTAAAACCCATACTGAAATGACTAAAATTAACTTCACCATTTGAGCACTTCAAGTATGGTTGCATTTAGAAGTGGTATTGGATCTCAGTACCATGAATCTGAGAAAGTGTCTATTGTTTACATACTGCTTCTCTAAAATAGACCTCACAAATGCATTTGGATTAAAAGAAACTGGACTCATACAAATAAATACAGTTTTGCAGAACAAGTCATGCATGTTAAAGACAGTACACTGAAACAAATATTGGTAGAAGTTCAATTATTCTATAGCACATTTAAGTATCTGATGAGAAGAAATTTTGATAGATATCAGAAGTTTCTTCACCCTCTGATATGTCAGTAGACATTACCCTCAAGCTGTGGATAGTCCATCCAACTTGTTGTTTGATATTTACACCTCCCACATCTCTGCCTCTGATCAACACAGGCTTTGACTGTAGTAGGTGGTGAACACCCCTGAGTATCTATTAAACATCGCTAGTACACTGAGCAAATAGTCACTATTTCAGACAATGAAACTTGATATTGTTTGTCTTACTTTATCTAAACAGACCTCAAATGTGAAAACACATTATTTACAACAAACAATATCGTGTCTTTGATTTTCATGCCAGAGGACTGCAGACAATTATTTGGAAAACAGTAAGTCTAGAAATTTATGTTAGTTGTGATACTAAGCAGTATTTCCCAAGACTATGGCTCTCAACTGCTAAAAATGAAACCAATAAAACCCTCTTCTGAGTTAAGATAACCCATTTGGCTTTAATACTATTACTACTGCCTCCCTGAAAGAGCAGAATAACCACAAACAGAGCACATTGACCGACCACACGTAGAGCCAGCAGCTTACAGACTGACTACACAAATGTCTCTTGAAATAAGCTGTAACATGATGCAAGCTTGTGCCTTGACTACCTCCTTCCTAAGGGAAGTAGTTTTGTATTCTCTTCTTGCTACTCAAACTTGCTATTACACCTTAGTCCATTTTGTTTCCAGCAGCCATTCTAATAAAACCCCAGGGACAATTAAACAGATTGGTGCACAGGTACTTGGACAGATAGGTAGGTAGAAAATATGTAAAGATTTCAAAGCCCTTTGCTGTTGTAAAGAAGTTATTTGGCTGCCATATAGCTCAAGGTTCTTTTTCAGAAAGAGCTTTTCTTAGAGGCCTTCAAATTTCTAGATCCTTGCCTCCATCACTGAAAATGGCTATTTAATGCTAAATTATAATTGTTTATTCTCCCCAGCCAAGAACAATTCATTGACTCTGAGAAGCTTAACATCTTGTCAATCTCAGCCACAGGACTAGTAACCAGATTTTGGGATTGAAGTTATTCATCATACTTATTGATCTCCACTTCCTGTGGACCATCTGTCTACAGCAGCGATAGTACAGCCGCCAATTCCCAAAGCAACACACATCACACTCCAATGACAACAGAAAGAAAAGTCAGGGGATCTGTTTTACAAGACGTTTTGTACATGTTCTTTAAAAAAGTACATAGTTATGTCTAACATAGCCATACAATCACGATACTCTATTTTATATACTGCAATTTGTGCTATATGTACTGCTATATGTACTAATATGTACTGCTCTTACCGAGAGAAAGGAAAACTGAAACACAGAAAACCAGTGCTCCAGAATTAGAGTTTCATGCTGGCTTCAGCTGAGTGGAGCTAATTTTCTCTGCAGTAGCCAGCATGAGGCAGTGTTTTGGACTTGTGTTGAACACAGAACTGTTATATAGAGAGCCAAAGCCTTTTTTGCTTTTTGTGCAAGCAGGAGAAATGGAGTGTCTGGGAGATATGAGAAGACAAAGCCAGGACAGGTGGTCCCAATTGACAAAAGAGGTATTTCAGGCCATGTGACACCATGATCAGTATAAAAAGTGGTAAGAAGGATCAACTGAGTTGGTAGAGATGTTTACAAACACTGGCACGACTAAATTACATGACAGGAATCTATGCTTTTATGTCTGTAAAGAAAAATGGATGCGTCTACTGCAGTGTTGAAAAGCTGGTATACTGCAAGGATGAGTACTATGTTATAACATACTTCACTGGATCACTCTCCTTTCTGTGAGTCTCAGTGGTGGACAGCTATTATGTGTTACTACTATGTGTTAACACAGGTAATGAAGCTGCTAAACTCAATCTTACAACTCAGAAGAAAGACAAAGTAAAGACTGACAGATACATATAAATACACTTCATTTCTAACTTGCAGGGAAAAAGAAAACTCCCATACAAGGAATCAATAAATTTTGAAAATCTTAAAACTGTAAATAATCTAAAGAAAAGCACCTACCAAACAACACAATCCTTACCTGCGACTAGTTGTTTTCCTTTCTGTCTTGGTTTCTTCCTCTTGAAGTTGCTGTTTAGTATTTTCACTTGTATCAATTTTCAGTTTCTTGGCAATGCGTTCCTTTATTTGAAATCTCTCATGACTAGCAGCTTCATCTTCTACACTATCAGCATCTTCATCATATTCCTCTTCATCCTTTATTGATTTAAAATGATAAAACTACTTTATATTTTTTTCAGTACAGAATACTAAATATGGAAATCCTTTTTTTAATAAATATAACCTTTTCCAAGAAAAAAGCAAACTTTTCAAACAAATATATCCTCATTTGCTTCAGAAGTAACAAAAAATAAAAGACATGACAGTTTCTTTTCCATACACAATTACTTATGTGTAAGGGTTAAAAAACCAAAAAACAGCCTGTTCTAGACTATTAACTCTTACAGGTCTATAGAGGACATCACAGCAGTGTGATATTACCTGTACCATTGTTCATGAATCCAAAATTTGATTGAGACAATACCACTGTCTCAATGGTATTGAGACATGATGATACCATCTTTCATTTTCCACTAAAAGGGAGAATTAACTCCCTACCACATGGCTGTACTACAGTCATGAAGGGATAGAAGAGGTTAGCTCATCAGCTCCTATTAGGGAATTTACAAGTACTAAATTGATCATAACAAGCTGTGAAAACCTGTGGAATCGATCATTGCAGCTTGCTACAGAGGTCAAACAAGAGGCCTCAAGCCTCCACGCCTAGCACAGGTAGGCAAAAGGGGATAAAGCACCTTGGACCAAAGACGTTTGAAGGGAGAAATAGTTGGAGAATGAACAAGTGGCCTGACTAGACTGAGGGATCTAAGTCTGACTATTTCCTTCAATGAAGAAGGAAGTCTGTATGAACCTTAATTGAAGAATGACAACTTGAAGATGACATGGTATATCTTTTCACATTTACTTTGGTGTGATCCTCATCAGCAAAAGGAAAGTGTAAGATGCCATGTGATTCTACTTTCAGCCAAAGAAAGAAAGGACACTTAGAAACAGCAAATCAGAGGACTACACAGGAGACTGCCAGAATGTAAGCACTTGGGAAGGAAGAACATGTACATGTCCTGAGTGTGACACACAGGTAGGAGGAAGAGTAGCATGAAGATCATGTCCATAAACATGAAAGAGGAGAGAATAAAAAAAGTAATAGCAGCAAGACGCAAAATTTGGGAATGGAAGAGAAAAACCAAGAATTGGATTTCAGAAATTGTAGTAGTCACTGTTTAGGAATCTTTAAACTACTATGCTTAGATTCGAGATTTAGACAAGACAAGATCAGTCAGAAATAAGAAAGAAATCTCTGAATATTCAGCACAGTAAAAGAGCTGAATATTTTGCCAATGAAAAGAATGAAAGGTTGTTAGAGGAGTTTTGTCTGTTCCTTTTTAATAGGGGAAGAGAAAACTGAAACAGGGTTAGCATTTCCCTTAATTTACCAGAAAAATATTATTTGACAGAGGAGATAATGAAACTTTCTAGAAGATTTGCTTACATGATACCTGACTACAGACCTCAATAGCAGGGGGAGGTCCAAAAAAAAAAAGTGACAGGACTGTGTTTGAAGTCTTTAACAGTCAAGGATAAAGACAGACTCCTGGTGGAGATTTGACTAGGGCTTAGGTAAGAGCATTTCACTGACACACAATTAATTGTACAGGAGAACAAAATGGAATAAAAATGTACAACTCTAGACAAATAGCATTGGCTAAGTAGCAAGCTAGTTAAAAATTGCAGATAATTGAGTAACAGGAAGAGGGTTGGAGAGACAAAATGGTTTAACCTGTCCCACTTGGCTAAATCCTCTACTTCCCAAACCAGGCATCAGCCCCAGTTTGCACAGTATTTCACCATTTTTCTTCTAGAAATACACTGCTTTCCCTCCTGCAGCTCTACTCTTTTTCTCCTGCCCAGTCTCCTCCTTCAGTCCCTCTCTCTCTCATTAAGTCCATCTGATATCAACAAACAGATCTAACAACAGATTAAATAATTCAGACTGAACTGCATGGCACCTCAAAAGGGAAGAGGCTCTTCTGTTGGCTGACAGTTGCTCTCCATGTGACACAGAAATGCAAAACTGCCTGCCTGAGAGCTATACTACTCCTTGCTGCTGTTATTAGCTGGGTGGAGTTGCCCTATTCTTCTCCTTAATATGAAAATAAAAATGGTAATGAGACCTTTTGTGACAGAATGACTACTGGCTACTGTAGGTGATATGATTTTCCCATTTAAGGAGATTATTGAATTGAGGGGTGGATAACTAATTTTATCTACACACAGTACTGCATGAAACTTACTATTCATCAACTGACAGACAAATAGGGAGAGGAAAAGAAATTGTGCAGAAAAGAAATGTCACTGGTGAAAAAAAATTTTGTTGATACATTTCATATGTTTTCATTAATGACTTGGGCACAAAAAGAATCCTAAGAAACAGCTATGAGGTAGTGCTAATACAAAGGCTGTCTCAAAGAATTAGATGTATAAATTTGAGGACTGAAGTAAGAAAAACAGGATGGTATTTAATAGCATGAACAGCAAGGCCAGGTGCTTAGGGAATACTAACAAGACTTTCTCTTACATGCTATGGGCTTGTAAGCTGGGGGAAGTAGGCAGATCTGGAAGAATTATTTGCTCCCAGGTTTGGCTATAAAACTACCAACATGTTGCAGCTTTGCAGTGTAAATGCAAAAGTGATACTGTGATGCCTTAATTAAAATAACTCCAAGAGAGATCATAAAATACTAGTATCACTTCAAAGACCCAGGTAACTGCCTGAAGTGCTAGATCTTAGCTAAAATCTTAAATGCAGTGAAATCTAAAGAGAACACTTCTCCAGGAAAAAATGAGAAAAAGCCTTCATATTTCCAACTTTGGCTTAATTAGATACATTTATTTAAATTTTTATTCTTCAACCTAATACATCCATGTTCTACACTCCCCAAATCCAGTTTGCTTAAGAAAGGGATATTTGAGTATCTGAAGAATTACTAATTAAATAGCATTCTCCAAACCCTTGTAACACTACAATGCTCCTATACAGCAGGAATTGCAAAGGAAAAGAATGAAAAAGCCTGAATTCATACTATGCCTTGCGAAAAAAGGAAAAGCATGTAAGCAGATTTTTTTTCTAGGCACATGAATGTGACAGACTGTGCTCTTCCTTTACTTCCACTGTGTCAACATATGTATGTTAACTACATACAATGTAGTTAACACTTGTGCATGACAGACAGATATAGAAAACAATACTTTCCAGGATTCAATTAGGTGAATGAGAGATTACAGTCCTAGTCATATCTTACATCCTTATTGCAACAGCAATTCAAAGGGGTACACCCATGATCTGTGGTTGGAGACAGAGACATACTTCAGGCAACAAGCTTATGCTTACCTGCACCACGTATGACAACTTTCTTCTACTTAAACTGCCCCCATGTTTAGCTGAATGTTACTGCTTGACTATGCAAATTCCACGTCTTTCAGAGGCGACAGTCTTCAACAATACAATTTCACTGCTACAATTTAATAATTCACTGAGCTTTTCTTCTCTTGAAGAAATCTTTCAAACAGGACTCTGACTCACATGCAGACTTATCCTCAAACATTGCAATTAAATAACTATTCATGACAAACTTGATTTTAATTATTTTTTAAGAAGCAGTTTCAGGGTTTTTATCACTCTGGTGGTTAGTCACCCTGTAGTACACAACCCATATCACATATTCCTATATAACTAATCTACTAACTGAAATACAATATAACCAGTTTCTATAAAAGGTAGCAGGCAGTATGCTAATTCTACCCTACCCTGAATAGCCAAACCTTAGAGCTTAGAGAGAGCCTTCACACTTTTGCCAGAAATCTGACTTGAGCTAGTTCTTAAAGATCTCTAAAGTAACATTTGTTCCCCAAAGGAAATCTTATCTGCTCACAGTAAAAAACAAAGAATTATAAGTAAAAAAATAAAAATACTTGCCTCACTCAAATCCTTTTCTTCATCTGCCACTTCACTAAAAGAAAAAGAAAAATAACTACTTTGAAATGCTAGAGGAGATAAAAAATATTATTTAAAACCCAACATTTCTTAAATAACAAAAAATTGTTAGCCACCTGAAATTTTAGTAAGCTTAAAACAAGGGCATTAATGCAATGGAGAAATCCTATCTTGAGAATCCTATCCTATCCTATCAAGCAAATCTTGAGCTATTCAAGCAAAACACTAATATGTATGGTTAAAATAACCAAAACTCAGTTGAGATGTTTTTGATCTCATTTATCAAAACAATTACTAGCATTTCATTGCAACTAGTTTATATTTTGGAAGATGCATTTTACTGATACTTAAGTTTAACATCAAGATTTAAATTTGTTATACAGCTACAGCTTGGTGAATTAAAAAAGAAATCTATCTGAATACGCTAAGGCTAACACACCTACTGTTAATTATCACAAACTAATAATAAGAGCCCTTGAACCATTTTAGCCCATATTCCAAAAAAAAAAAAAAAGTTATGCTAGAGAAAAACCAAGGAATATTAAATAAGTCTCAAAAGTCAAGACTTTGAAGTCTGTTCAAAGCAATCAATAAGTAATCAAGATCACTAAAGAAACCTAGATGTGTTGCAGTCAATGACACTATTTAATAAAGTGCTGCATCTGGGTCAGCACAATTGCTGACATCAGTGCAGACGGGATGAATGGACTGAGAGCAGCCCAGCAGGGAGGACCTGGGGGTGCTGGTGGATGAAGTCCAGAAAGCCAATTGTGCCCTGGGCTGTATCCAGAGCAGTGTGGGCAGCAGGGCCAGGGAGGGGATTTTGCCCCTCTGCTCTGCTGAGACCCCACCTGCAGGGCTGCAGCAGCTCTGGGGCCCAGCACAGGAAGGTCATGGACCTCCTAGAGGGAGTCGAGAGGAGAGGCATGAAAATGATCACCTCTCCAATGGGGAAAGGCATGATTGTTCAGCCTGGAGAAGAGAAGACTCCAGGGACACCTTATAGCATGCAGCCTTTACATACCTAACATGGATTTGTAAGATGGGGACAGAATTTTTAACAGGGCCTGTTGTGAAGGAACAAGGGGTAGTGGTTTTAAACCAGAAGAGGGTGAATTCAGACTAAACATAAGGAAGATGTTTTTTTATGATGTGGATTGTGAGACACTGGAGCAGGTTGCCCAGAGAGGTGGTAAATGCTCCACTCCTGGAAACATTCAAGGCCAGGTTGAATGGGACTCTGCACAACCTGATCTAGTTTAAGATGTCCCTGCTCACTAAAGGGAGGTTGGATATGATAAATTATAATAGTTTCTTCCAAACCAACTAGTCTAGAATTCTAAGATAAGCAAATTCTTGGAGTAAACATATTTTCATGGAATTTTCTCACTTTATAACTTAACTGTGATTAAAATCAGAATTTATAAAGTACTAAAAATAGACAGAGAAGAAAACCAAGTTTATTCAAAAACACAGGTTTATTATTAACCTGATAATTTGTTTGTTCTTTAGATTTGGAAAAAAAAATACATTTTCAAGCATAAGCAGAGTTACAGAGTTGGGAAAAGCAACGCTCTAGAATAATCACAGCAAAGAACATCTTCAACATGAAGAAAATTTAAGTATCTATAAAAGTTTAGGCTATGAAAGAGATACTCTAAGAAAGGACAGTGGTAAAGAGAGGTATGAAAGTGACTGTCAGCTCACTTTCTCTTCCAGAATGAGAGTTAGAATTTATGAAATGTAAATGCTCTAGTAGCATCCAGGTTCAGACAAAAAGGGGAGATACTTCTTCCTGTAGTGGATAGGATGGTGTGAACTGAAGCAATGTTACAAGAGATATAATACACAGTTTTAGGAGAGCTCTTAAAGGTTATTAAATAGATGAACCACATCAAACTCTGACTGTCTTCTGAGGTGAAAGTTGATGGAGGCTGGGAGACTACGCAGATAAATGTTACATTTGGACTGCTTTTACTCTTTACCGGGCATCACTGATGGTCAATGGTAGCTTAGTGGTCTAGAGAAATACTTGGTCTAATCTAGCACTGGCACTCTTAATTTTTTAATGAGTTATGTGAATTGACATTTCTTAAATGAGCATACATGCTGATAATTGGGTATAAGATATTGAAAGTAGATCTATTCTAGAAATTGGAAATCACATGCTAACCTTTTGACAGCAGGAACTGAGCTAAGATGTGGATCATCCTTCAGGAGATCATGACTACTTTTACTTTTTCCCTTCATGCTCTGTTAAAAGAAAAAGAAAAAAGTTATTACTCATTTCAGTTTAAGAGGCTAGATAGTGAAAAAGGATTGTGGTAAGAAAATCATAACTTGTTTCTTTTTAGCTTTAGCCTATCCAGTAAGCATAAGCACTTTTAAGAACAGAAGGAAAAGAAAGTGCTCCAGAAAGAGAAACATCAAACTGACTCCACAAATTTATTTTTGCAATAGCAATGCACTTAGTTTTAAAGGATAGAGAGAGAGAGGGGAAAAAAAAAGATAATGTTTAGTCATGTACAATCATTACACATCATAAAGATGGTAGGTCTAGCATATATAAACTTGAGTGAATAAAGAGTTAAGAACTTAACTTTCCAATAATGACACAAGACAACTAAAAGAACCACCATGTACAAAACAGTATTTATTAACTGGAAGAACATTAATTGGAACCCTAAGGAAAAAAAAGTCAACAAACTGCAATACATCAATCTAGAATATATAATTTAAGAATCATTTACTGACACAAGGAGTCAAATAAATCAAACACATAAGGTCTTCAGGCATATAGACTGCAGTTAGAAAGCATTCTACATGTTAATCTGAAAAAAAAAAATTAATTTTCAGAGAAAAATCAGACTGAGAAATCTCTGCTGCAGGAACAGTCTGTATTATGACCTGTACTGTGAATGTCTCAATTGCAGATGCATTGTCTAATGATTTTGGGAAGACATTAGACATGTGGACAAAATCTTACTCATTTAACTGTAACTACAATTTTTTATTATGTAGAAAACAAAGACTAACACATTCAGCAACATGAAAATATAATTCCTTCATTAAGGAAGGGGTGATGTGTTTGGAGTGGTGGTGAGGCTGTGTATGGCAAAGTGCTCCAAACAGGTACACACAATAAGCAGTTTGGACACTGAAGGCTAACACTGATCAACAACCAGTGGGGGCCCTACAGCCAAATTGCTGACTGCACTAATAGCCTTCATGGCCTTGAGGGGTTTTACGCAGAGCTTCTCTGCCCTTCTTAAACAAGCAAGATTTACTGCATCTAGAACCCACAAAAAGCTCATAGGATTCTAAGTTTGCAGGTATCAAAGGATCTCAATAACAACTTTGACCCGCCATTTTTCTTATCAAAACCAGAGAATGCTAGTTAGTGCTGATATTCAAGTACTTCAACTTAAACAGATTAAGATAATGTCCAGAACTACAGTGACACTGATCTAGACCTCTTATGAACAAACAATGAGGTATCAAAAAGAAGTTTTTATTTTGTTACAAAGAATGAAGATAAATTCTTCATAAAGAATAGTTGTGGTTACTTATCTAGCTACAACCAATCCAGAATTTAGTCAGGACAAATATGCAGATGAGATTTCGAGGCTGGGCTGAAAGAGAATATTAAAATACTGAAACTAGGCTTATCATGAAAGAAGCATTCTATTTAGATAATTTTAAACTGAAAACAAGTATTTGGCATGAAAAGAAAGGAAGTCCAAGGAACTGAGTCAAATCCAGTACTACAAGCCAGATAAATAGCAAGAGCAAAACAGTAGATGAGCATATCAAGGTAAACAAGTAAACTTTGTCTGACTGGTAATTTGAAAAAGAAAGAAAAATAGTTAAAGCTGCTGTTGTTATAAATATCTACTATCATTCTGACTGACATCATCTCACTATAATATTGTCCATCATTATTCATGTTTTCCTTTTGTATTTTAGCTAACTTCTGAGGACTAACAACCATTTTTTCACTTATGTGGGTACAGGATGCAGGACCATGTAGCCTGATCACTAACTGAAGCAGTGAGGTACTGTAGAAAGTCCAGGAATCTAGCGAAACAACTTGGTCAGCAGTAGAAATGAAATCAGAAATTTATTTAAGAAATTTTTAAACTAGCCTTATTTAAGTGCCAAGTCAGGGAAGGAAATGTTAGACCAAAGATTACCTGTGCAATCCTGGAATGTGAACACTATGGTGCACTATTAAACTATGATAATGGACTATTTTCTCCAAAATAACCAAGCTTCATTTTGCTCACAGATGGATGGACATATGTAAGAAAATGGAGCTAAGCATGCACTGGAAATGCATAAGATGATCCTCAGTATTCAAGTATTTGATCATATAATTGCAATTATAAATAAAGGACTTGAAAAATAATAAAGTACCTATTGCTTCCATGACTTTTAAACAGCAGACATAGATTTATACTATGAAATGTTTTGCTTATGGAAATGTAAAAATTCCATGCAGTAACTAAAGGTACCTTCAAAATCAAGAAAGCTAAAAACTTCTGTTTTTGCAAAATGCTGCAACAGCAGAACCCTAGAAACTGAAGCAACTGCTATTATTATTGTTCAAAATGCAAACGTAAGAAGACTAAAAACTTTAAAGTTTTCTACAAATATGCAGAAAAGGTAATTAGGTTGAAAAGACAAATAATGATAATTTGGTACAATACCTGACTAACTCTACTGACTTCTTCCTCTTCTTCTTCAGCTTCTTCCCCAAAGGAAAGCAGGTTGAAGTTTCTTTAAGAGAAAAAAGGAAATTTCTAGTAAAATTTAAAATATTGTCTTAGTAACATTCCATTAACTTCAAATATATTACGTTCATGTTGTACATGACCTTTCAAAAAAACGTTTTGTCCTGCTAAATGTACCAATTCCAACCAACTACTGCATTTTGTTTTGCAATAAATCATAAATATTCAGAAAAGCATGTTGTACTATACTCCTGAGATAAAACAAGGATAGCAAAGCATCAGTTAAGACACAATTTAAGAAATCTTGTCTTGACTAGCTTTCCCAGATTCTTGAATGCTGACAGTTCTGTTGTATTTTTTTTTTTCAACAGAGCAGCATTCAAGACAGAAGATTTTCAAGATATGACAGCTCAGAAACACATCCATTGTGCACACATTCACAGAATGCAATTAAAAAAATTCTGAGCTACAATTTTTTTTTTTCCAATAGTTAATTGTTCACATTGCCGGAACCAGTCAGTTGCAACATGTTCTATTTTTATGCAGCAGAACTGACAGCATGCCCACTTTAGAGTTGCTACTAGTTTTCATTGCATGTTTGTGAATTTTGATTCACGGAAACTAAAATTTCCCATGTCAAAATGCCTGCTTTTTGCTAAGTACTTCAGTGGGGGAGAAATGGTATCTGATAAAATAAGTTAAAAAAATCCCAAACAATTGAGCTGCGACTCAGTTACTTCTACCAGTAGGTTTTTAACTGCAGTTAGATGACTGCAGGGACATGGGAAAGATAACCTTCTCTTTTCAACAAACTATCACTATGCATGAAACAGTTACAAGTCAGCAGATGCACAGTAACATTTCAGTCGGAGAAACTAGATTTGCATGATCCCGCCACCCAGAAACAAGGAAGTGCTTCAAAGGCAGAAATGGAAGTAATAACCTGCCAAGCTACAAATTAAAGGTAAAATAAAATAAACCACCATTTCTGTTGCATATATTTACTTTGTGCCTTTTACTTTGGACTTTTTACTGTCTTCTTCTGGTTTGTCTTTCTTCAGTTTTCTGTTTGGTCGTGGGACAATGTCATCAAAAGGATTAAACAAAACCTGTTTAAAAGAACAGTATTTAAGCACATCTCTAGTAGATATTTTGTCATTAAGTGGTTCAATATTTTAAAACAATATGCAAAAGGACAAGACAAACTTTCTGAACACTATGCACAAAAGAATTTTAAAACGTCTCATTTCAAAACAGAACGTACTCACCTCACTGCTTCTTATTTTGTGTGGACTGAGAGGTCTCTCTTCCTTGTCAACTTCTACTTCAGCCAGGCGCAACATGTTATATATCGTATCCCCTGTAACCTGGCAAATTTACAAAGAAAGGTTTGAAAGTTCATGACTGTAATTTGTGTTACTTATTCTGTAAAATACAAGGCAATTATTATATAAAAAATCTTGAAAGTACAAGTGCTATAGGAAATATTATCAGCATGTAAGACTTCTAAAAGACAGCAAGCACAATGTACAAAAGTTTGGGTTTTTAAATTTAATGGCAAAAGTTGAAGGAATACAGGTGGTTTTGAGAATGTAGGCAGATGAAGATGTTGAAGTATTACTGTGAGCTATGAAACAGGAAAACAAAAATCACTGAAATAACAAAACTATTTGCTCAATTTTCGTTTAAGTAAATCATGAGAGTGGTAAATTCATCTCATGTTTTTCATCTTTCTGACCCTTCTTGGGTAATTAGAATCTAATTAATTCTAAACAGAATTTTCTAACATGTGATTAGTATTAGATGAACTGATAAATAACAAAGCCATAATAATACGAATAAGATTATTTAAAGGCAGCACAAGGTGAAAATACAATTTAGAAGAATAACAACAGCAAGTCAGATAATAACAGGAATAACTCACAGAAACATTTCTACCAGATATAAGAAACAAAGAGAATGGAGACAGCACAGAAAGCACTGAAATAAATTTCAAATGCACATAGCAGCAAACAATATCAAACTTCAGAGAAACTTCTAGCAGTTTCTGTCAGACTTGTACTGGGACTCCAATTCCTGTAACAGACCTTTCCAAAGATTGTGTGCTTGTTGTTAAGCTCATCTGCACGACCCAATGTAAAGAAAAACTGACTCCCGTTATCATGGGGCCCAGCATTTGCCATAGCAACAAGTCCTCTTCGATTAAATCGCAATCGTGAGTGGAACTCATCCTGGTAAAAGCAGGACAGAAAAGAGAACGAATTCAGTATAAAACTATCTTTTCATTCCTTTAGCTGCAGTGTGATAGGAGATAGGAGTTATATTACTTACATCAACATGTACACACAGTTTTCTTTTGAATTCAGACAGTAATAAATCCCTAGTATTTTGAAACTCAATGCCAGAATTATATCTAAAAGTTCCTACTGTGAGCAGCAAAAATTATTTTTAGTCAGTATTTCTAATCCCTTGTGCCTGTAATGATGCCAACAAATGAACAATCTTCAAAAGAAACCATAAACACACAACGAATAAACACCAAACAAAAAACTAGAAACTAAAATATCAATAACAGAGACACATTACTAATTAAAAAAAAATTAAGTTCTGTCTTGTTAATTTTATTTCTTTTCATTAATTGCCTAAAAATCAATTGTTATTCACTGTCTTTATTTTAATTTTTATCCCCACAATATTAACAAAATAAAAAACATCTTAAAAAGTAAGGAAAAGTAAGTTAAAGTAAGTGCATTTCATACACTTTTGCAAAAATACTACTCTTGACTATCACTGCATTTACGTGAAAAATGAATTTAAATCCTAATTCATGTAAAGTTACTAAAAGCACAATAACAGGTTGTAATAGCAAAGTAATGCAAAAATCCATAGGAATAACATTTTCTGGAATAAGGAAGACAAAATAGGACTCCTTTCAAAGCAAGGAGAACATGACGAATACCACTGTAACATCACAATGCTAAACAGTGCAATCAATATTGAGACACCACTACTTTGAAGCAGCAATGCTCCTGCAATATTGGTAATTTTTGTTTTGTTCTCTCAGGTACCATTCCCTCCCAAAAACTTCAGGCTCATTCTAGATGCAAAAGTCTAGCAGCAAGAAGACGGAAGGCCCAGAAACAGGCTTTGCAGCTTCAGTCACATATTAAAGGTGCCTGCCCCACCAGAAATTAAACAGTCAGGCAGAACAGAACACAGCTGCTGAGGATCTGAGCCCCCAGTTTATTATACCAGAGTAGCTAGACCTAAGAGCTCTCAATTTAGAACCGCATATTCAAACACACTGAAGCAGCACATGAAGGCAGCTACTGCACAGGTATGCATTTCATATAAGATCTGATTTTTCAGAACTTGGTAGGAGGAACAAAGGATAGAGAATACTAAACAAACTGATGTGTAAATTATAGATACACACCTTGAAAGGAGCTCCATAGACTGACTCTCCTCCTGATCCAGTACCAGTGGGGTCACCCCCTTGAACAATAAAGCCAGGCACTACTCTGTGAAATATTGTGTTATTGTAATACTCTAAAAAATAAGGAAAAAAAAAGAAAAATATATTAAATACATGTAAGTGGTCTCAAATCCAAACTTTCATACAGATCATGTAGAGATGTTTAAAGACCGAAGTTCCAGAAAGCAAATACTGTAACTAGACTCTGCTGTTGGCTTCTATTTCGTTCCCTTCTGCTCTCCACAGACTTACGAAATCACATCCTGAGGTGTCACATGTTTCTTTTACAAAAAATCCTGCCCATCACCAACAAGATGACCTTGATGAATTACAGTCTTTTTGGCTTTTAAGTTTTATTACTGAATGACACTATCAAAATACACCAATTTAAAAGGAGAACTAGAAATGCTGTGCTCTGTCCTGGATGTGATCTCACATACAACATTAGCAACATCCATATAGAGATGATTTCCACTTTCACTCACTAGCACAGAACAACTTTCATCACCTATAATGTACTTAAACCAATAATTTTTGCAGAATTAAATATGTGGTACATTTTGCTCTCTAAGCTATCTTTTTTATCTATTTATCTGATAGAGGTTACAAGATCATAAGAAAGCAAAAAGAATGAAACCAAAACTTTACCTAAACAGCAAAACCCTGGTTGATATAATAATAATAATAATAATAATAATATCTGCAGCACACTGCAAGACAAAGCAGGGTGTGCAAAGTCGTGGATGGTTATACACTGGATATTAATGAGAAATACTTAAATTTATTACAAAGCACAAGATGCTATAAAGGAATTTAAAAAATATCAGAAAGAAAATAAAGCCCCCTGAGTATACATGAACCTTCATCATGGGTTAAGAAATTCCTTTGCCATTGCAAAAAGTCTCAACATCAGGGAAAAGAGACTGGACAAAACAGAGTGGATCTGTGCTGGAGGCACAAAGCCTAGACTGCTATTTTTGTTTAACAGATGAAGGCAAAAAGAACTCTTCACAATTCTACAAATGCTTAAATGGGAAAATAACACCAGTTAGAAAACACATAATGGCATCAAGTCTTTCACAGATTTTTGTTACAGTTTTCTCAGTACGGAGCTTCTCATTCTGGTACTCACTACTTTAGTGGAAAATTCTACAGAGCTTTCATCAACAAAAAAAAATACATTAACTGAAACATGAGGAGCACTCACGGAAAAAAAAAAAAAAAAAAGAAAGAAATGGTAGTGTGAATTGTGAGGCAGAAATGAGAATTTTGGAGAATGTCCAATACTGCATCACTGTCATTTCATGCACACACTGAAGTTTTTACACTTTGTAAATATTTGGTGTAAGTAGGCCTCTCAGGACTCTGAAAGACAATGTTTCAGTACTTTTCAATGTCATCATCTTAATTTGAGAAAACCATCCAAAATTTTCACCTTTTTTTCTCCATCAGCTTCATTGGTAACCTTGAAAAACATTGTCTGAGTGTTAATTAATAATTCCTAACCAGAAATAAACTTACTGACATGCTAAAGTCAAAACATAATTACAATCTCTATTTCACAGAAAAGAAACAAAGATGGCATAGTAATTAATTTCAACAATTCCCATCCCATTCAGTCATTACCTTCCATACATAGCTGGATGAAATTTCTGCATGCTTTTGGTGCTTCTTTTGACCATAATTCTATATCTATCTCTCCTGCTGTAGTTCTCAGCAAAACCTATAAACATAGAGATAAATGCAGCCTCAGTTTTACTGTAACTTAGATCAAAGAGTGCAACTGCCTAAAAAACAAATCTGATTTTGTTATAGTTGTAAGAGTGGTACATATTTAAGTGTGTCAGGTAGCTGTTGTTAGTTCTAACTAGCATTTCCAGAAATTGAGATACAGCTCTGAATCAATAGGTATAATAAAGATGTATAATATAGCTGTAATAACATAACATAACATAGCATAACATAACATAGCATAACGTGGCTGATGCTTTATAGAAACTTAAGATACTCTTTATAATTTCTATGACGAAACAACATGGGGAAAAAATCCCCATAAATATCCAAAGATATCGCTCTTACAAGGAACATCATTACATTCAGTGATACAACATAAGAAAATTAAGGAAGTAAGATGTAATCGGGAATAGAGGAAATCAAATTAAACGCTTCGAGGACTGCTCTGTGTTACGTCTCCAGACATCACGCATCACGCCTCATGCTCTGCCTCCAGCAGCGCCAAAGAAGTAACTTTAACCAAACCAATCCACCACAGAACCAACAACCTCCCCAGCCCCAATTACCACAACCCCCAAGCTCGTGTTCCTCTCGCCTGTCCCCCCATAAACCTACAACATAGAACTTCTCCAGGATTTCACCCTGGCAGCCTCACCTTCCCGTTGGTGGGCGGCTCCTGGATGTAGATGTTGCTCATGGCGGGGAAGGACCGGCCCGGCCGGCGAGCCTCCCCAGAGACCAACGCGGGACACGCTTCGCCTCCGACGCCTCCTACTGCCCCGAGCCGCCCGCCATCTTGGGCGCCTGTACGCAGCCCAGGGAAGGGGGGATGAAGTTACACAAGCCGGAAGAAAGGATGAAGGAATGAGTCCTCGGCCGGAGTCTCTTCGAGACTCACTGAGAAATAACCTGTCTTGAGAAAGATCCGCAGGCTTCTCCACACATCTGTGGTCCCCCACCGTGGCTCCCGCCTTAGGGGTGCTGAGGCCCACTGCCTTCTCTGAGAGTGGTACGGTCCGGGAGTGCGCCGGGAAAAGCCTTCCGGCGGGGAGAGGTGTCGCTGCGCGTGCGGCCCGGTCCAGTCCGGAGAGAGCGGCGGGATGGCGCTGCCGGGTGAGGGCAGCGGCAGCGCCGGCCGGCTCCGGCCCGGCAGCCCGGGGACGGGAACGGGAACGGGAACGAGCGGCGGGGCGGTGGACAGCTGGGACAATTGCCCGGGGAGGGCGCGCGGCTGTGGGCGGCACGGGGAAGCGTGCCGGGGGCGGTGGGCGCTGCTCCGGTCCGCGCTGCGGGGGGCAGCGGCAGGGAGATGGGGATGGGGATGAGATGGGGATGGGGAATGAGATGGGGATGGGCCCGGGGCCGTGCCGTGCCCGCGCTGGGCAGGGGCCCTGCGGGCGCGCCCTCCTGGGGCTGCGGGGCCCCTCTTCTGCGGGGCCGAGCTTCTGGGTGCCCCAGCGCTGCGTTCCCATCGCGTCCTCCTCTGAGGTTAGAGCTAAAAGAACGGTGGTTGTCAGACTTGGCTTTTCTCTTCCGCCCTCCTTCTGGATTAGTGCTTGTGTCCCAGTAGATTGTTCGCGTGAGTCAGGGCAGGCAGAAACACCTGCGCGGTTTGCAAGGTGTTCGTTCAGGCCGAGCACGATCGCCATCGCTCCCTAGCGTTTTCTTGCCCTGAAAACGGGGAGTGTGTGGTTCGAGAACAGCTGAACAGGCCTGAGCTTTGGTGATCTGCCTCTCTGATGAAACGAAGGCCTTCATAAGCTTGTTCCCATTCTAGAAGGGGTTTTTGAGGAAGACATGTTTACATTCAAAGGCTTCCAAAGGTTTTCTTTTCAGTCTTATGTGCCACTGAATGAAGTCCTTAGTTCTGAGCCACTTGTTAATTGTCTTGAGAATTAAGATATGGGAAGAAGAAGGAGTGAGAAAGTGCAAGAAGCTTCCTTAGTTGGCTTTTAGTCAGCTAAAACTTCATCTAGTCTAAATGCTTCTAACATTATTATATAAAGCCTAAAACAATAACAAAATTTCAGTCCTAGGAATTTGGCAGGAATATTTGATGACAATATTCACATTGTTGTCGTTGACTGGATGTCTCTTTTGGACATCCTGGCTTACACGGGAGATTTCTGTAGTGTGCACATGACTGTACTGACCTCCCTTGGCTGGAATACCAAATCTTTCTTTACCTCTGGGTCAGCTATGCAGTGGGGTTGAGGTTGACTCAGAAATATTTCAGAAAATTGGGACAAAGTAGGTGATTTGGGTGATCTTGTTTTCTAGTCCCAAGGAGTAGTGAACAAGCAAATGCTGATTTGAGTGTTTTTCTGATGTGACATTGCAAGTTATAGGTACGCTTTTGATTTTTATTGTGTGACTCTTTCTTCTATGTTCCCTACCTCCTTATCTCACTTGTGGGTGCCCTTCTAAAGGTAGTCACAAAACAGGTACCTGAACACTGCTGACCTTGAAGGGGATATGTAATACTAAGGGTTTGGGATCTGCAGAAAATAATCTGTTTATGATGGAATGTATGAATCTTTGTTGCTTGGCTTTCCAACACTCATTAAGGCATACACCTTAGTTGTCCAAGTTTCCAAGGTAGTTTTTTCAACTTGGGGTTTGAAGGTTTCTGTTATTTTGAGTAGAATTTTCTAAAGACAGTGCTTGTTTCAGTAAGTCATAGTTTAAATTAATGGGACCGATGTACTCAATTTCTGATAATATATGACTTCTTAAGTCGCTGGGGTTTTTCTGCTTTATTCAGTTGGGAGATAGAATGGCATCTTTTGATTTGGGAATTGAGTTGTCACTTTCATTACCAATGGCTTAAATTATTAAAATTAAGATTGATCTGTTGGGCAGTGGGACAAATCCCTGGTGCTTCTCCTGAATTGTGTCCTGTTCTGTCAGTTTAAATTAACTGTTGTCTCACATGGGAGAATCACACACTTTCAGTACCTAAAATTTGCATTATTCAGATCCTTCTTCCTGCTTAGAATCCAGACTTTTCTGTTGCTGTCTTCACTTTCATACACATTTGTTTTCTTGCATTTTTTGTGTTTGATGTCATCTGGATTCAGAATAATTTGTTGACATTTTAATTCTTTATTTTCAAGGACTGATTTTTTGATTTGGTTTGCTCTTTTTAATTGCCTTGTAAAGTCAGTTCTTGTAATTAAAATATAAATCCCTTCAGAGTTTCCAGTGAATGCCTGTCAACATCCTTGCATTGCTAGAATTTATATTGTGTACTACAGATCATGGGAATTTTAGATTTCTGCTACTGTGTTCGTAACTAAACAAGTGGAAAGGTCACAATAAATCAAATTAGGACTTGGCAATACATTTTGTAAGACTAAATGAATTCTAGTAGTTTAAATTAGTCAAGTGTGTTCTGATAGATTACTGCACAGAAAAGTAGCCTTAGCAATGCAGTTTTTAAAAGAGATCTTGGTGTACTTAATATTCATGAGAAGTGATAACTTGTGTCTGTATATTGACATTATCAAGCCACATTTGAAAGAAACTTGAAGGTTCTCTTCAGCAACACCTAATTGGTGAAATTTTCTCTTTCAGGTGGAAATAAGGATAATATCAGAGCTGGGTGCAAGAAGTGTGGCTACCGTAAGTCTGTAATAAGCAATGTGAAGTTACAGTGTTTTCTTCAGTTTATGGTGTTGGTTGGAACTGCCTTTTGAGGAGGGGGGAAAAAAAGGAAAGAAGTATTCTCCCTTGTTGCCGAGGCATTTGTCAGTTTAAATTACCATGTTATCTTTCTTATATTTATTTCATGCTTGTTCTCTGGTTTCTCACACCTATCAATGCTCTTTGAGTGTCTCAGCAAAAAAAATATGCTATTATATTCATACATACTACATTTCAATGCAATTACTTGAGAAACTTTGAATTGAAAGCACCTTCTTTGATATATACTGAGATGAGCACTTGTGCTTCTTCTGAATCTGACTGCAAAGAGGCAGGCATTTCAGTTGAAGTTAAGTCCAATCTAATTCACCAGAAAAAAATAGTTTAGAATCTGTATAATCTTTTATTCTAAGAAAATATTATTTTGTGCATTGTATATTTCAAGAAACAGCTTACCTTTATTGCTTACAAGTTCTACACTTGGCATTTAGCTCATGCTTTGGACTATACACTGATTGTAAATGTTTGTGACTACTTTCCTAATTAATGGTGACTGGTCTTAGTGAAGATTTCAAATTTTTAGTCACTGACTTATTTTTAGAACATTGGAATGGACACTGTTTTGTACTGAATTGTCTTGAACTTGTAGTACAGTGAGTTAAGCTGTTTGGGTTTTTTATATGAGTGTTACATTGAGTGACAGGAAAAAAATGTCTTCATTCTTTCACTTCAGGTTTTTGCAACAAATTTTGTCAATGACTTGCTTTGTGTATCTGTTCTTTCAAAGAACAGTGCATATAAAGACATATTTAGTGCTTTTTTTCTACATGCAGCAAGTATCAGAAGCTTTCTGAAAGAGAAGGAAACTTGTAGTCATATCACATGATCCATATTTATATGTTCCTAAATTCTCTGTCTTCATGGTGTAGGTAGTTTGTCATCATCCTTACTAAGAACATGAGCTTATGTCAATTACTGCTTGAATTACTGTGTCTCCCAAACCATATCTTCCTTTTTTTTTTAAATTTCACTTTTTTAAATTTCAGTTAGTGTATCAGCACAAGGTTTCTAGCTGGTCATGTTTATCAAGATGTAACTTAGAAAACTAAAAATACGAGTCAGGCAGTAGTTTAGTCAGTATTAAGTGCTGGCTGTTAAAGATTATGATTCATAAGCAAATAGGATTCTGTGATTTCACTGGAGGGAGTTAAGCAATGCAACACTTACTGTAGTTTTTGAAATATTTCATTCTATGTTTTTAGGTAGTTTCTTAAGAAAGTACCTAAGACCATTAAAAAATAGAAACTAAAGTTGAAAAAAATCTTGAAATTAGCAGAAGAGGAGAGAGGCCATAAAGCACTATTAAATAGAAGAGCATTGCACAACCTATCACATTCTTGGATAGAGTTTTTCAAAGTAAACTTTCTCCTGCCCCTTTCACAGATCACAACCTACCTTTTTTCTTTCACTTCTCAAAACTAAATAATACAAAAATCAATGTTCTTTAGTTTTTGGTATTTTTTTAGTAAATTGTAATTTTTCTTTCTTTATATTTATTTTGTTCAGCTGGTCATCTGACATTTGAATGTCGAAACTTTCTCCGAGTAGATCCTCAAAGAGATATTGTTTTAGATGTCAGCAGCACTAGCAGTGAAGACAGCGAGGAAGAGGAACTACAGAGATTACAAGCCATGCGTGAAAAAAAGAGTAAGGTGTTTTTTGTGGGTTTTGGATAATAGTCTTCTGAGGTGCAGGGACTCTGATTTTATCCTTTGTGATAACTACTTTTAGTTCTTTTAGCCTGTGATTTAAAAATAGGTCTTCTACTTTGTGTTTGGACTTCAGAGGTTTGATACACCCACACTCTTTCAGTGTTATGATTAATTCCTTCTATCGGAAGTTATTAATGTACCTGTTTGGAATATCTCAAAAGGCTCCTAAATACAAGAGATTAGTTGGTCTTTTACTAAGAAGCTGCTTAGAAGAAAATAACATGGGTGTTCTGAGTTAATCTTTTGATTATGACATGTAGTTTAAACATCTTCTAACTACTGAGAAATATGACACCTGAATTTCTCTCCAGTTTCTAAGTAGGATTTTGACTGAAACAGTTAGTAGACTGGAATTCAGTCATACATATTTTGAGAAGTACTGTTCTATATTTCTGGAAGGTCTGAGTATCAACTCCTTGCCAGAGTGAGAAAAGATGAATTGTCTATCAGATACTTGAGTTCATTTGAATTTGGACTCCAAAGAGTACACCTAAGTAAGAAGGGGGGTTTCACCTCAGTGTGTTT